ATTTTTGACCAAAACTATTTTAGACCTTAAAACCCTCTTTTTCAAAATATTTTTCCAAATGTTTCTACGATACTCCGAGGCTCACATTTCGTTTAAAATATTGCACTTTTCGGTAAACCAAGCAAGGATAAAATGGAAATAAATGAAAGCGAGGTGAACTCTTTGAAAATCTTTAAAACATCTTGTTTATAGGTTTGGAGTTGAAGAAAACTAGTGGGGGAAGAAGTTGGGCATCAATCCGTTAGAATAGAAATGAGCAGCCTTCACTAAAATAGGCATATATCTTTGAACACTTAGAATTTAGATGTGAAGCTACCACCATTGGAAAGTAGACTTCTAGGGTTTCAATTTAGACTCAAGAATGACCTAAAACCTAGTCTGGATGAGGGAGAAATGCCCGTTTGAATTTGGACCTGAAAGCAGATTTTTGTGTGGCTGGCAATTAGTGGCCAGCTACTCCATTTTACTGGCCTGCCGGCCACTTGTATCAACAAATAGGTTTTTGTAGATATTTGTTGCCAGTTGTGCCCCACAGGTGCACGCATTGCACCAATTGTTCCTATACAGATATTTTCGACCTAAGAGGCTGTTTTTCTATATATAGATGACCACTCCTCTTGAAATTAGGTTTGGAAAAATTCCTTAAGGACCAAAACTTGCATAGTACTCTCTCTCTATCTTGTAACCTACACACTCTCTCTACACTTCCTAAACAAAAAATTGAGCTCTTCTTGCTGAGGTTCTTAAGCTCAAATCTCAGCACTTGAAAGTGAGAACTTATGGGTTTGTTAACAAGAGAGTTACCTTGCTTCAAGAGGTATAACTTTGACTATCTTTACACTACTTATTTTCTATCTTTACTTTATGTTTTTGGGCTATTTTTCAACTATTTTTATGAGCTGAAGCTTGTGGTTTATGGCTATTAAAGGTAGAGGGGTTAATCATCCTTCTTTGTACCTTGTCTCCTAAGCCTTTCCCCTTGTGTTTCCCATCTCTTGATCAACTTTTTTTTTCACATTTTACCACTGATTTTTGGATGTTTTCAGAGGCTAAAATTGTAGTTTTGAAGTCCCCAAAATGGAGGGGTTAGCCATCCCCCCTTGTGCTTGTTTACTAGCTCAAATTCTCTATTGTTTTAGCTAACTTTTCAAGCTTTTCTCTTAGAATTCCAGCACTATTTTGAGCTATTTTAGGACTGTTTTAGTGTGTTTATTTCATTTATGCTTTGTATAGTATGCTTGCAGTGTAACAGTCCTCATAGGTTTGGTGTTTTAGGCATTAGACAGCAACCTATTTGAGTTGATAGCATTTATTTCAAGCTTTCCATACTTGTGTTCATCTCTAATCATCTCTGTACGTCTCTCATTTCTTGGCTGCTTCCTTGCATTGAGAGTCATTTCAAACAGATTGTTTGTTTAAACTTAAGATAGAGATCGTTGTGCTTAATAGTATAATCTCTTTGGAGGTTCGTTACCAACGGTGTGACATCTCTCTCATGCCTAAAACAACCATTTGTTTGACACTTCTTTCCATTAGTGGACTTTATGACTAATGAATGAAAAGGTAATTAAAAGAGATGTTAAATTTGGAAAAAAATAGAGCAAGATACCAAAATGGTTCGGGGTTCAATCGGACGTTAATTGAACGCATTGAGTCTTGAGTCATTTCATACTAGTCAGTGATGAAAATGGGTCAAGAGTCGATGTCAACTACTTCCCTTTATCAATATCATGATAGGGAGGAGGTTCATGAGTCTTTCATCGTGCATTTATTGAAGTTGTATCACTTGGTTCATAAGTCATCACACAATGAATTTGCGCCGATTGATGGCTTGCGAATTGAGCCTACTCCTTCTTTGACCTGTCTGATGATAAGGAGAGGCATGATGGACAAACAACCCTTGAGAATGCTCTATTTGTACTTTGTTTGTTTTCTGTTGCTGCAGGAGAAACCCAACAATACTGGCTGGCAGGCCACCTTTACCGTACTGCAGGCCACCATTAGTTGGGGCCGGCTACCTTTTTCAGCCAAGTAGTACCACTTTTTTTCACAGAGTAGAGTAGAGGCTGAGGTGCAAAATAGTGCAAAGGTATTCTCGAGAGAGAAATTCATGTGCATGCATAAGCCATTACCTCACTCTTGAGGACCTGTTAAATTGTTTTTGTTTTTTTTTTGTTTTTGTTTTTTTTGTTTTTTTCTAATAGTAGTATGTTGTACAACTTGTAATTAATTACTTAGTTAATTAATTCCTTAATGTACCTAATCAGTTAGTTTAATTGGTTAATTTGTATTAATTAGTTAGAGTAGCTAATTGATTTAATTTTTTGTTTGTAGACACCCCATTTTTGACTGTCCTTAGGATTTGGACATCATTGTTTGAACACTCGGTGATCATCCATGCTCGTGTTCGTTTTGAGTTCCCGAAGGTCTTGGCTATGCGCCTCGCCTTAAGATCTCTTAACTCGTCTGTTTTTTTCTTGGTTGTGGACTAAGGACTTGTGTTTTTACTTCTGAGGAAGGGGGGGTGGCTTGTTGGCCATCCCCACACCCCATCAGCTATGGCATGATGCCATCGGCCTTGTTTCCTTGCCATCAGCCATAAATGTTGGCCGGTCGGCGCTTTTGTTGGTCGGTCGGCCATATTTCCTGGTTGAGGCCTTTTCTTTGCCTTTTTTAGGCATTGTGCATGCCAGCTGTGCTAGCTGGTAAGCACAGACTCTCTTCTCCATACATGTGTGTGGAGGGATTTGAACCAAAGCTTAGCTTCTCTAAGAAGCTTTGAATTTGATTTCCTATAAGAGGGGAGCCTCCCCTCCCTTTCCAGAGGTTCAGCAAAATTGATATAGAAGATATATATATATATATCTCTCTCTATATCTCCGTCTCTCTATATATTTGTGTGTGTGTTTGTGACCTAAAGTGTGTTTTTGTTCATACTTTTGCACTAAAGCACCTAGTAAGATACCTTCCTTTGGTTGCTGAGGCACTAGGAAGTTGGTTTCAGAGTTCTTGGGCTGGTTTTGATCCAAGGAAGTGGCTGGAGTTGTGTTCTTGAAGGTGTTCTTCAAGGGTGAGCAACTAACCTTTTGTTTCCCCATTTTGGCTTAAGCTTTTAGACCTATTTGCATATTGTTTCAAGCTTAACTATAAACTGAAAAAAGTTCTGTTTTTATATGCTTAAGATGATTGTTTAAGGTCTCCTTTAGGTTAGGGGTTGTCTACCCCCTCTTAGGCCTTGTTTGGCATTATTTTGGGTCATCCTTTTTGGCCTTTGTTCTTGCTTTGGCTTGACCTTTCTACCACTGAAATCTAGAGGATTTTCAGTGGTGGAATGGTGGTTTTAGAGTCTTGTATAGGAGAGGGACACCCCTCTCTCTTTGTGTCTCATTTGCTTGTGTTAATGGCTTGTAATGGTAGCATGTTTGCTTAACATGTTGTTGCTTCATTTCAGCAAGTATTTGGTGTTATTTGGTTATGCTATACCTCTGTTTTAAGTTGGTTTGATAGCCTCTTACATGCATCATGCACTTGTTTAGCAATCCTCTTATTTGCCTTAACATGCACCTTGCATTTAGACCATCATGCTTGCACACTTTGGCTCAACTCAAAGGAACTTTTAGCCATATTTCAGCATGCTAAAGCTCTATTTCATATGGTTTTGATCATACATACATTGCTTTATACAGCTACCATACATCCTAGCTTGTTAGCTTCGAGTGTCCAAGCCCTTAACATGCACTACTTAGACCTTTTTCATGATTTGGCATCATTTCCTGCGAGCGGATCCTCTAGAGTAACTCTCTAGAGTGATCTCCTAAAGTGGATGATCAGACGGCTGTGGTTAAGCCTCACCAAAACGACGTCGTTTGGTGAGGACTTTCAAAAAAAAAAAAAAAAAAAAAAAAAAACCAGATTCGGGGATTCAAAAGGGATTTCAAAATTCCCACAAATTCCCCCCATATGTATACACACGGCGAGAGGGGGAGACTGTGAAGGAGCTCAAAGGAGTGTTTGGAGTTCAAAGGACGAACGGCGGCGAACCACGACGGAGGACGGAGGACGACGAACCACGACGGAGGACGAACGGGGAGCCTGAGACAGCGAATCGAGGTAAACCTGAATCATAGTGACGTTAGGGTTTACGTTTACGTTCGGCTTCAATTTTTTTCCATACATTAGTCGATTGGGAGTGTTTCGGGTTGGATTTTGTTTGGTATTTGTGTTAGGGTTTGGGATTTGGCTTTAATTTGTGATACCTGTTAGGCTTTGGGATTTGCCTTTTCTTGAGTTCCATTTTTGGGATCACTGTGTTTAGTTCCATTTTTTTGAGTTAATTTTTAAAATTTTGATTTAAAAATTGTTTTTTGAAAATGGCCTACTGTTTAGGTCCTTTTTTTTTTTGGATATTGTAAATGGAATTCAAAATTGGTTAATTACCAGGCTTGTGGTTATTGTTCTCCTTTTTGTGTTTGTTTCCAGATTGAGACACAGAAACTTTTAGCTCATCTTGTGGAAGCAGAAATCAACAAGAGATTGGTAAATATAGCCATCTCTGTCTGGGTTCTTATTTAGCTTTGACAAACTGAAGTTAAATTTTTTCCCCAATACTTTCAATAAATTACTAAATTCTTAAAATCTTATTCAATTTAAAATACCCCAAAAAGATCATTATGCTACTATTTGCTATTGGTTTCTTCCATTCCATCCACTGCTTTGCATTTTTATTTTGATGAAGAACCTCATGAAATGGTCTGGGAGATGCTGCTGTAGAGTTATTGCATACTCTGCTAGCTGTGCATGCAGAGGTATTTGTAATGCATGCTTTGTGTGGTTTGTGCGTGAAAATCTTCTTGTCTTGTTATTAAATTCTTCTCGCTTTCTTTTCATTTGCTTATCCAAGTTTATAAGGTGAAATAATTCCCTTGCTGCCAGTCTTTGAAAATGCAACTTATTTTAATAAATAAATAAATAAAAAGTGAATACTAAGGGCCCAACCCAGCTCAGCTCAGATATCTGGAGCTAATAACAAGGCTTGTGGTTATTAGTAGTGGGGTTTTGTTAATGTATCCCTTAATGTGTGCGGAATTGTTACTTGTGATTCAATTGCATAAAGAAGAACAATGATAATTTGTCAAATTCATATAATCAAGATCTGTGACAGGATGCTTGATATGGTCCTTGTTTTAAGGTATTATATCTTGAATTGGATACCAGTTTACCAAAGATTTTGAAATAAGGTCTTCTGACTTACACATAGTCAAGGTAAAGAGCTATTAACAAAAATTTGACAATATGAACTTATGAACATTTGGTGATTAGGATAAGTTCTTGAGTTTTCAGCACAGAATCAAATCACTCTATAGACAGACACACAAAAAGTGAGAGCTATAAGACAACTTTGCATATTAAATCTTACATCAACTATGGAAATAGATGCTATATCCAATGCAATTGGGTACAACAGGGATATACCTACCAGTCCTCCACCAATAATGCCAAGGAGATGAATTCTATAAGGGAAATGTGTTCTTTATTATGTATAAATTAACTGCTTGATTTGTTTTATTTACTCAGTATGCTGGATGACTTTGATGCACAGATCCGACCACATAATGCAATTTAATTGTTAATCCTTATACAGAGACAACTTTCTCACTAGCACAAATATTTCAATTAGATGCACTCGGGAATTTTCTCTTCATGTTTCTGACATTCCCTGGTTTTCAAGAAGTGCATTGCTGGAACTGTGGAACACCGTGTCTTCTATTGACTTTCCTAAGACACTTGTTAATAACTTGTTTTTTTATGCAGAATAAAAAATGGCTTCATCTTCTATTGATAATACGAACTTAAGATTGAAGCCAAGGTTTTGTAATTGTGGAAGAATAGCTTCCGTGCGTATTGTACAAACCAATGCGAATGGAAATGAAGGTCGTGTATATTTTGTTTGCCCAAGAAAATATGTAAGTACCTATTATATAAATGAATCTGTTACTTTTTACAAATTTCATTAGTCCTTTATTGATTAATTGATTCTTGTCCATTGTAGACTTCGAACAACCACTGCAATTGTTTCAAGTGGTTCACAAATGATGACGACGACGACGACGACATTACCTCATCAATCCGTGCCAATGCTGGACCTCGGACAGATTCAAGAACAGAAGAAATGAATGATGTAAGGACAAGGCTTGGTGAGCATGATAGAAGGCTTCAAAGGATTGAGAAGATATTGAAGGCAATGACTTATGTCATTGTATTTTGTGTATTTTTGTACTTTATCATGTAAATGACTCAGTTCTTAGGTTTTGGAGCATGCTATGAATGTAATCTACTTTTGTACTTGTTTTGTAATTTTTTTTTTGGTGCTTAAAAATCTGAAAGTTTGTAAAAACAAGTGTGTAACAGCTTTATTTGAGATGAAATGTTGAATGAACAGTTTGTGAAATCTATTGAATTATTTTGGTTGCTTAACAATGTGTATTATATGTGATGGTTTGAAAATGTTGAATGTTGTATAACAGGTTTATGAAATGTTGAATAATGTTGAATGTTGAAATGTTGAAATGTTGACTGTTGTATAATAGGTTTCTGAAATGTATTGAAAATGTTTAAATGTTGAATGTTGTATAACAGGTTGCTGTATTATATGAAATGTTCAAAGTTGTATAACAGGTTTCAACTCAATTTCAGCAACTTTTGAGCAACAAATTCAGCAACATTTTAACTCCATTTCAGCAAAATTTTAGCAACATTTAATCAACTCTATTTCAGCAACATTTGAGCATTATTCAAGCAAAAAATCTGCAACAGTTTAACTCTATTTCAGCAACAATTTAACAACAAATTCAGCAACATTTTAACTCCATTTCAGCAAAATTTTAGCAACATTTAATCAACTCTATTTCAGCAACATTTGAGCATTATTCAAGCAAAAAATCTGCAACAGTTTAACTCTATTTCAGCAACAATTTAACAACAAATTCAGCAACATTTTAACTCCATTTCAGCAAAATTTCAGCAACAATTTCAATAACATTTCATCAACTCATTTGAGCATTATTCAAGCAAAAAATCTGCAACAGTTTAACTCTATTTCAGCAACAATTTAACAACAAATTCAGCAACATTTTAACTCCATTTCAGCAAAATTTCAGCAACAATTTCAATAACATTTCATCAACTCATTTGAGCATTATTCAAGCAAAAAATCTGCAACAGTTTAACTCTATTTCAGCAACAATTTAACAACAAATTCAGCAACATTTTAACTCCATTTCAGCAAAATTTCAGCAACAATTTCAATAACATTTCATCAACTCTATTTCAGCAACAGTTTCATGAAATTAATCAAAATTTCAACATGTCAACCAAAGTTTCAGCAACATTTACTGAGTAATTTCAACAGAAAATTTTTAGCAACAGTTTGATGAAAGGTTTTGAATATTACATATCCAACAAAAATTTCATACTTGTCAAGCATGATAATAGTCAGCTACAAATTCGTACTAAAACTTTTTATTAAACTAACTTACATCATAGGCGGGATACATAAATTGAGACGGAGAAGCTCTAACTTGAGGAACACTCGGCGAGAATGGAGGAAGTTGAGGAACACTTGAAAATAAAGGTGCAGACTGAGGAATTAAGGGAGGTGCTTCAGGAGCACTTGCCGAAAATAAGGGAGGAGTTTGAGGAGTAACAGACATGGAAGTTTGAGAAGCATTATGTGAACTTGTTTTATTTTTCTTTGCCAAGGCAAGCTCCAAACCACCTTTTGTCCGCCTTCGTCCCTTGCTAGTGCACTCTTTTCTCTTGAGTCCTTTTGCTTGGACTACATTTTTATCCGCTACACCATCCACTTCAAAGCTTTCGGGGCGTTGGGGGGGGGGGCTTTCTTGTTGAATAGTATCTGAACAAGGCATATTGAATTTTGCGCTTAACATGGTTTCAATTTCTGCAATTAATTTATCCGCTTTCTCGACCGTTAAATTATATGTTTCGTCACTTTCAGAAGCTCTACACGCTACTGATCTGAATATTGCCATCAATGACCTATAATGTGAAGTTTGATGCAATCTTACATCAACATGAATATCATGCCCACACCTATCTTTCACATTTTCAGATCTTGCTTTTTTAGTCCATCTCTTCAGAATATACTGTGAAGGAATCTCTTTCAATTTCAGTCTTTCTCTAAGGATCTTCAAACAATGACTACACAAAATGCCCTTTATTTCAAACTTCCTACAATTGCAAGTGACCGAATCATCACACCCCTGCCTCACCTTCCTTACCTTTATACCATCACTATCAAGAACTGTGTAAACGGTACTCTCACCATCATTTTCAATTTCTTCAATGTTGACTTCAAGGGACTTGACATACTCATCCTGAAATTCTTCAAAAAATTTATTTGTGTAAACATCTGCAGCTTGCTTCGTAATCTTCACTTTAATATTCACCCTGGGCAACTTTTGGTATAGAGCATATTCGGCTTGTAACTCCTTGTACCTTTTCTCAGACAGAACTCGATCAAAATGCATGAAAAATTGCATTAAGTTATGATCAGACTAAATGAAATCCTTCAAGAAAGCATTAAAGGATTCACTAAGTTGGGTGCTACTTATGCCCGCACCCCATGCATTTCTAACATATGGCCAACCCCATTTTTCCTTCACCTCAAATGTTAACTTCAACCAATGATTATCTCTTACTTCATACTTGTCAAGCATTTCCTCCCATTTTAACATAAACTCTTCCTCATCCTCAATGTCGTACATAAACGTGTATAAAACACTCTTCATCCCCTTATCCTTCATCGCCTTATCCTTGAAGATAGAATTTGAATGCCTTAATGCATTTTGCATCAAATGCCAAGTGCAAAGGCGGTGGGTTGTGTTAGGCATGACAATAGGTATGGCCTTAGCCATTGCAGCATCCTGATCCGTAAAAATTGTTTTTGGAGCCTTACTTGACATTGCCTCCAAGAATCTTCTAAAAAGCCATATGAAAGAATCGGCGGTCTCATTATACATCAAAGCTGCACCAAATACCACAGTTTCCCTATGATGGTTCAATCCAACAAAAGACGCAAATGGTCTATGTGCACTATTTAACTTGTAAGTAGTGTCGAAAGTGACAACATCACCAAATTGCCCTTAATCCATGATCATCTGAGCATGGCCCAAAATATATTCGTAATCTGCTCCTCGTTATCTAATTGGACTGAGTAAAAAAAAGATGGATTCTCCAATGATTTGTTACGAAAATATTGCAAAATGCTACCTGCCTCCCCATATGCTAAACTGTTTTGCCTCGATCCCCGACGGGGACCCCATCAGCCCCCCCGTCCCAGCCCCCGATCGGGGATCGGGTTTCCCCGACCCCGAAAATCCCCGACCTGTTCATTTTTTATTTTTTTTTAACACAAAAACAACAAAAATAATTTCAATCTGTTGTATTCAGTAATCTATCTATCATCATCATCATTAAAAATTTCAAACTATTGTATAGATCAACTGATATTGATCTATCATCAAATAGATCAAAACCATAGATCATCAAATAGATCAAAACAGATCTCTTCAAAACAGATCATTTTCAATCTATTGTATAAACCACATAGATCATCCCTATTGAGACAAGAACAAAACCATCAACAAATCAACTACATAGATCTCTTTAACAACAACATAGATCATTAACACAGATTTCTTTAACAGATCAACAAATCATTAACCATTTCAACATTAACAGATCAACTACACACAAAACAAAAATAAAATGATAACATAAGACACAGATCAGAGGGGAGGAGGGAGAGAGAGAGAGAGAGAGAGAGAGAGAAACTAGATCTGGTAAATCTGCACCATGCTCGATTGATCTGTAATCCCTGGAGTTAATCTGCAACGGCGAAGATCTAGCGAGGGACGATGGCGGATCTCAGTCTCAGATCGGAGGATCGAGTCGACGTCGGACAATAGCGTCGGAAGAGATAGTAGAGGGAAGAGAGAGAGAGAGCAGTGGGTTTGTAAGGGAGAAGAGAGAGAGTCGTAGGGAGGAGGGAGATCGGCGGTGGGAGATGGAGATCGGCCGACGGTTTTAAAGAGAAGGAGAGAGAGAGACAGATGAGAGGCAGACAGATGAGTATGAGTGAGTGAGGCTTCTGTGTGAGTGAAGTAAAGAAGTTGATTTATATATATATATATAGAGGGTAAAATGGTAATTTTGCTTCGGGGGAAATTCGGGGCCGGGGACGGGGTCGGGGACGGGGACGGGCCGGGGCTTGAACACTGATCACCGTCCTCGGCCCGAAACTGATCGGGGTTTTAATTTTGAATACCATCCCCGTCCCCACGGGGGTATTTTTCGGGGAAAAACCATTCTCATCGGGGTCGGGGGATCGGGTCCCCGTCGGGCCGGGTTCAAATTGCCATCCCTACCAATTGATGCATGTGAGAGACCATGTATGTATGGGGTCCATATCATTAATAATTAAAATCAAAAAAAGTTATGAGTCCAAAAAAAGAAAAAAAAAATCTCAATCATTATTATATCCCATAAACTTTGAATAATTTTTAAAAAAGTGAAATTAAAGGTTAGTTTGACAAGTTTAAAAAAAGTCAAAAAGTTAAAAAGTTACTATATTATTTAAATCACATCATCTTTTTAACATATCACTTCAAATTTAATCTAAATTTAATTTATATTTTATAAAAAAATTAAAATATACATTTATTTAAATCATTCCAAACAATCCCTAAAAACAAACTTCGATTTCGTCCTAACAGTTATCGACAGCTTCACGTTCGCACGGCACTGCCCGAGACGCCGCTTTGGCCCATTGTTGCGCGAGCGGATCCTCTAGAGTAACTCTCTAGAGTGATCTCCTAAAGTGGATGATCGGACGGCTGTGGTTAAGCCTCCCCAAAACGACGTCGTTTTGGTGAGGCTTAACCACAGCCGTCCGATCATCCACTTTAGGAGATCACTCTAGAGAGTTACTCTAGAGGATCTGCTCGCTCATTTCCTATGTGATTTCAGTCCATATAGAGTGGTCATACACTTGCACTTGTCACTCCTTTAATGCTTTAAAGAGTTAGTGTTTTATGCCTCATGAGTGGGTCATTGTGCATGCCTCTATGCTTTAGCTTTTGGGATGCCATCGCAGCGGGTTTTTGGGCTTATTTTGACATGCCATAACTCTGCTTTTCATTGGTTAAGTCATGCAATGTTTGGTAGTAATAAGTGTAGTATAACACCTCTTTGTTAGCCTTGCATGCTTCATGCTTTCGGTCTTTTGTTCAAGCTTGTGTTGGCTAAGTTCGAGCACGATTTTGGGCTTGTATTGACCTACCTTAGGATTGTTTTGGTTGCCCTTGGCCCTTTGGGGCTTGCTTTGTATAGCCTTGGTGTAATCCCTCTTGCTAGCTTCAAGCTTTGAGGTTTCTTGTATGCTATGCTTGACTTATGTGCATGATTTGGCATCATTCCTCACATGATTTCAAAGCTTATTGCATTGCCACATTATCATGTTTGTCACTCCTTGCTCATGTTTGAGAGTTGCGTCTTTATGCCTAAGTGATAGGCCAATTGGCATGCATGCTTGTTGTGTATTTTATTCCATCATTTCTTAGCATATTGGCCACTGTTTTGGTATGGCTGAGGCCTATCCATTTTCAGTATAAGTCCATGGATCATGCGGTTTGTGTATTGTTGTATGCTTATCGCATTGCATGTTGTTGCATACTTATTGTTGGTATCATTGTTGCATGCCTGTCACATTGTATGTTTGCATATCAAGGTTGCATAGTCGTATTGCATACTTATTGTATATCATGTTGTTTACATGTTAGGTTGCATTGCATTGCATTTGTCATGCTGATGTTACATTGCCTTGCATTTTCATGTTGCATTGTACTTGGTTGCATGTATTGCATTGTGTTTGGTTTGGGGTGTCAAACCAAACACGAGTTGAAGTGATAAAACATGCCTTAATTCTCGGTCGCTGACGCTCTTGATCAAGCATGATAGAGTTTTAGGCATTCATATGTTTTTGTTGTATTCATTCCACATTGATTTGCACACTTGGCTCCTTTGGCCATCATGCATTGAAATGCGCAATTGATAGTCCGAGGGTCGAGAACCATACTCCCTTGAGTTCATGACATGATAGGAAGGGTGGTTGTGCACACATTGCCTTGAAAATGCATTGCCATGCTTTGTTTGTCCTCTGCTGCAGCAAAATAGCATTCTACAGGAAGATATGGCCGGCCGGCCATCTTCAGTGCCGATCGACTAAACATTGTTGGCCGAGATACTCACAAATGGTTGATGACCAATTTCACATGGCCAATGTTCCTATATTTTGGCCGGTGACATCCCACAGTGCTCAGAGAGTGGTTCAGAAGCATCCTTGGGACTTGTACAGTTTTCAGAGGTGTAAAATAGTGCAAACAGAGGCAACATGTGGCATGGCGACGGGTTTTCGAGTGAGGCGATCGAGCATGCATCATTCAATCATTCCGAGGTAGAGCTGCGGTGACCTCTTTAATTTCATAGCTTAGTTAATTTGTTTAAATTAGTTAAGGGTTTTGTAATATTTAATTAGCTAGGGTAGTTGATTAATTATTCGGTTTGTATTATTTATTCGGACCCTCCATCGAGAGGGCGAATTTTGTAATATTTGTGTGAGTGTGTGAATGTCTTCCAACGCCACGTCTTTCTCCCTTTTACTTACCTGCTTTCAATGGTTAGTTTTAGGTCATGTTTCAATTAGCATCCTTATGCTCGCATGTCTGCACCATTCATCTGTATTGCATGCACCGGGTTCGCCACATCATACTAACTGCATAGTATTTCAATTCCAACTTGAATACGTGTATTGAGTTGTCGCATTTCACAAGCCATTCTTAGATTGGCCGAGCCTATTCTAGTTGCATTTTTGCATGTGTTACATTAGCCATCTTAACATGAACTAGGATCATGCATTTGATTACTAACTAGCTATTGTTTTGGCTCGGAGTACTAGGTAAGCGTTTACTCTTTAGCATGCCGCATGTGTGTAAGTGTTGCCATGATAGCATGCTTGCCATGAGGCTATTTGCTAATGTGATATAACTACCTGAATGCATGTGGGTGAAGGTTGGACTACCTGAATTGGAACAATTCATTGAATGCGAGTTTTAAGCCCACTTTGCGGGGTGGCAAAAATCATGTTTTCTAAGCCTACCCGAGGGTGGCAAATCCACGTCTTAGCCTACTTGCGAGTAACACCATCAAACCATTTTCAAATAAACAAACATGAAATGTTTGGTTCCAATTTTGGTGATCCGGTCTATACTTGTGTGTTATGCGTATCACATAGTAATTTTAAGCTAATAACGGAATAAGAACACATATATTTTCAAAACAAAATATCATGCTTAGTACAGGCCGATCTTCGATCGGGCGAACGAGGGTGCTCATTGCGTGACCTTCCCCTCTTGTACCCAAGTTCCCGAGCCGAGGTAACTTTGGTGATGACGGACACGTGGCCTTAGGCAACTAGTCAGGG